TGTCAATTTAGGCCTCTTCCCAGATGGCTGCAATGGCTGTGATAACATACAATTAACTCATCTCCCCCCTGCAACCCTGTGTCTCCCCACTGCTCCCCGTCTCAGGGTATGAGCAATTGAATGTATGTCAAAACCTAGTTCAAAATCTCACCCTCATCTAAACTCCTCCCTTTCCTTTGCTCTGATTTTGAATATAATCTTTAAAAAGTTTCCACAGCCACTCATTTCTAATTATGCAGATTTCAGAACTGAATACCATCCTCTCTCATTTGCTTTATAGCAAGATCTCGTGGATCTCCTTGCTTCCCATCTTTACTGCCTCCCTATCCTTCATCCCTATTTTCTAAATTGATCAAATTTAACTGCATCCCTCCGCTGCTTAAAACTCTTCAAGGGATCCCTTTAGCCCTGGATAAAACAATCCCACTGTCCTTACTCATATTTGCTCATTTTCCACAACTCTTACCCCCACCCTGAAGAAAATACTAAAGAAAATAAACGGCATTCACATAACTTTCTCCACTCTCCTCCTCCTACCTCCTCTCGGATAGCAACCTCAGCTGGTCCTGTGAGGGCTGGACAGACAGCTGTCAGCGTGCGAGTGCAACACTGAGTTTACACAGCACACAGATGATGCACAGTGATGACACCATGTACCGTTTTTCATGTGACCACTGTATAAACTATTAACATCAATGAATGGTGCCTGAAAGCTAGAAATAAGACGGGAGAAAATATGCCAGGATTCATCGCTCTACTCACTACAGTTCCTTACTTTCTTCATTTCTCACCCATTCTTCCCTGTTATCTGACAGTGAACTCTCCCAGTAAAAACAAGCTGTGTGCGTTTAAGGTGTCCATGTATCTCTAACAATGAGATGTGTATTTTATGTGGGACACAAGCAGTTGACTCATCCGATCAAAAAAAGTACGTCTTTAAAAGCAATGCATAAATATGTATGCTGCCTTTCAATCACTTAGCAAAAAGGTAACTCTCCATACCACATACTCCTGCTCACAAATAAACAGGCCAACACTTGCACATGTCTAATAAGTCATTGTCTCTTTAAATTGGACAGGAAACGGAGCCGACTTTCAGATAGATACAATTATAACCCCTCCCCAGGGAGAATGGAGAGAGAGGAAATGATGCAAAATAATGCTGATATATTTCACTGGTATTCACATTCTAGCTTGTAAACAATTTCTAATTCACTTGCCTAGACAGTTAGCCATCAGTCTGGATGTGAAGCATTTAAGCCCAAACCAGGAAACAGGAAGTATTAGTTCTGTCACAAGTATGTTTATTTTGGTGGCTCACTTCTGCAGCCTTTTTCCTTCAATGTATCCTTTCAGAGCCAAAGGGGGGAAGGGAACCAAGTTACCAGACCTAAATCCATCACAGTGATTGCAATAAGCTGAACCACCCACAGCATCCTTAGAAGGAAGTCATTAGTTTCGTGATGAAGAACTCCAACTCCTGTGGAGGCAAAGTCGAGAAGTAATTGTCTATTCCACATGCCTGACTTCAGTCAGCACACCCAAGGATGTCCAGACTGAGCTAGTCACCCTCAGTTTAGAAGCAGAACATCTAAGTGGATGTGCTGAGACTGACTTTCAAAGACATCTGGTATTCTTCTGGGAGTCTTGTGTTAATGATGAAATTACTTCCAAATAACCAGAATGGTGTGTAACAGTGGACATTGTGAAGGTGGAGGGCAAAACTACCTTTAAAAATCTAAGAATCTGCCCTGGCCGGTTTGGCTCAGTGGATAGAGTGCCGGTCTGCGGACTGAGGGGTCCCAGGTTCGATTCCGGTCAGGGTCACATGCCTGGGTTTTGGGCTCGGTCCCCAGTGGGGGATATGCAGGAGGCAGCCAATCGTTGATTCTCTCTCATCATTGATGTTTCTCTCTCCCTTCCTCTCTGAAATCAATAAAAATATATTGCTTGAAAACAAATCTAAGAATCCAAGGGTATAACTTCACAACATCAGCTTTGATGACCTCACTGCATGAATCCAAGTCCTTTGAAGGAATAATCTCTTATACTGAATTTCTGTGGCCTGGAACAGGGTCAACACTCCATGGCCTGTGGGCCAAATCTTGCCAGCCACCTCTTTTAGTCAATAAAGTTTTGTTGGGACAGAGTCATGGCCACTCATTTACATATTATCTATGGCTGCTTTTGTTACAATGGAAGACTTGAATAGTTGTGACAGAGTTCACATGGCCTGTAAGGACATTGTTATCTGGCTCTTTATAGAAAAAGTTTGCTGATCCCTGATCTGGGATGATGACTCATTCACCAATCTTTGCTCTACAAAAACCAGGCTCTGGATCAAAATTATTTTGTCTGGATTCTATAATTCTTCACTGAAGACCCAGTATTTAAGGCTTTGGGTTGGCCCAAAGACAGCACAACCCTCCACTTGGCAACTCTATAGGAACGGGTCCAGGTGGCAACCCTGCAGATCTGAACAGATGCCCATTTTTCTTCTGCCCATGAGACAGATGGTCCTGAGAGAGGGGAGGAGAATTAGTCCGTGAGAGAGAATTCTCTGTGCAGCACTAATTTTGGAAATGTAGCCCTGCTCCATCTGGCCAAAAAGGATTCCTTAGGAGAACCTTTGCCATTTGAATGTGCTCAACATTCAGGAGGGGAATCCTAAGTACCAAGGCACGAACCTCAGGTATTCGCTCTCTGTCCAAATGTCAGGAAAGCATTCCGATTCTGCCCTTGAGACAAGAAATCTCAAATAATTAAAAGGACAGAAGGTAATTATAAGGATGAAGACGAGACTAGCTAACCACTCCGTTAGAGACTCCACTTCAAAGAACTAATTCACTGCTCTGACAATCAGCCTATCAGGTGAGAAAAGCAACACCCCTACCTTTGTGCCGCATGCAGAAGGCAGGAGGAGCAATAGTTACCGCCTCACCTGCTAGCAGCAGCCTCCCCTGGACACAGTGATGCTTCGCCTGCTCTTCGACCACTCTCACTCGGCTTGGGTATTCTCACCTTGTTGTCCTAAAGCGTTTCTCTCCCTGAAAACAAACCATGTATCTGCCAACTTAATGAACTTAGATGTTTCCCCCCATTTCATTCCTAATTCAGCTCCACAGCGTGTAGTGTGTACACTGGGTCTGTTCAGTCCAGAGATAAAGAGCAGGCAAAATTAAGAACTGACAAAGAAGAAAATTTAGGAACCTTAGAAACGGGGACATGAAAGATTCTTTTCATTCAGCCTCAGCTGGCAGCTTTGAAGTCCGACGGACTTGGGTTCAAGTCCCAGTTCTATTATATACTATCTGGATATTTCACAGGCCTCATCTGTTAAACTATATCATAACCAAGTTACCTGTGGAGTTATTGCAAGAATTGAATGAAAATACACATACATCACTCAACAGCCCCTAAGTGGTCCTTAAGGTGTACTTATCAGCCATTCCTGAGCCACATTCCTCCTAGGAGCACAGTTGCTGTTAGAATAAGAAACACAGGGGGGCTGGAAGCAGTCATGAGGGAAAGATATCTTCCTTGACTTTCTTCTCAGTCATTTACTTGGAGACAAGGAAAATTCTTCGTGAAATAATGTTATTAAATTCTACATCCACTGTTCCTATCATTAAGAATACTACACCACTCCCACTCAGAGAATACCTTTGGCCCAAACCAGCTGTACTTAGAATAAGAAACACAGCGGGGCTGGAAGCAGTCATGAGGGAAAGATATCTTCCTTGACTTTCTTCTCAGTCATTTACTTGGAGACAAGGAAAATTCTTCGTGAAATAATGTTATTAAATTCTACATCCACTGTTCCTATCATTAAGAATACTACACCACTCCCACTCAGAGAATACCTTTGGCCCAAACCAGCTGTGGGATGACCTGCAGAGCCATCCAACACTGTCTCACCTAAGCTGCAGCATCCCAGGGAGGAGATGCTGCCTCAAATAACAGGTCTCTGCACATGATGCTCTGCCACATCAATTAATCAAGAGATACCTGCCAGCCAGCATTATTTAGGCACCGAGCAGGTTGTTCAGAGTTCAAGGTGAGACCAACAATAAGAGTTCAAGGAGCTTAGCTGAGGAAAGCAAAGAAAAGCCTTACCTGATTTCATGTCACTGTTCAAAGGCCCAACACAATCACATCAGAGGCCAGAAGGAAAGGACTTCCTTCTACAGAGAAGGTAAAAGTGCTGCAACGTTAGGAAATGGTGTCACTGACCCATTGTCATCGAGCACTTACCTTCAATTCAGCCTTACAATATTTTCTTATGAACACACTAGTTCTTAGTTTATAAAATCTAACTCAATGTTTTTTCTAAAACCGGAACACCTTCCATATGTGATCCCGATACATGTACAAAACACAGGGACAGAGACAATGAACTGAAAATAAACCAAGGAGTGAGGGCCAATGTTCAAGAACACTAGGCTCAGGACAAAAGTGACAAAGGGCTTTGTAAGTGAACTCAATACTCGAAGTGTATCTGGCCGTGCCCGGGTAGCCAGGACAGACTTCAGAACACACTGCAGGGATTGAAGCTGCGTGGAGCCACTGCTAATCTCCAAGCTCGCCCCCGGGGCAGCTCCCTAAAAGCACAGCAAGGTCATCCCGCACCCTCAGCAGATGCCTCTCCTCCCAGCTCCAAGGCGCTCCCTTACATCTGAGCTCAGTTTCATCCATGTTGTGAGCTAATTACGAAGAATCCAGAAGTGTGGGAATGCACTGGGAATACTGTGGGCTGCCTGCACAAACCTTAGCACCATCTGCTGAAATAGTAAGATGCTTGTTTAAAAAGCTGGCTGCCAGAGAAGGAGGTCACAGCACTAACAGTGGGAAGTTCTCCTCAATAATTGGCTGCCAGAGAAGGTCACAGCACTAACAGTGGGAAGTTCTCCTCAATAATTATTTTACTTCTCTTTCCTGCACACAAGCAGGCCGCTGAGCCAAAGGTGAACAGTCCAGAGATAAACGACCTGTCTGCTCACCTTCTTGTCCTGGTCCAGGCGCCAGCAGGAGAGAACCTAGAGCCTGCTCACCAAGGGAAAACGAGATATGGTCAGTTTGCATACTTCAGTGAACCACCACTGTTATCTGGGAAAATACGGAAGAACATCATTAAAATCCCTGTCTTTTTTATAATTGGTTGCAGAGAGACATTTAAAGCGCCTATGTACTTAAGGAAGACAACTCCCTCAGTAGTCTGAGGCTCATGGGATGTGGGGGCTCCCTTTGTGTGCTAATGTTTCTCAAACAAGAGCAGTCGAAAACAGCCTCATGTTTGTAGACAAAGAGCAGACCAACAGTCAGAGTTCAAGGGGTTTAGCTAAGGATAGGAAAGAAGAACTTGTATGATTTAATGTCACTGGTTAAAGGCCCAACATAATCCTAGCAGAGGTCAAGATCTGAATAATGATGGCCCTGGGGCTTCCTACTCTCTCAGCATAGGGAAATATAGTCATTAGTTCCCTTTGAGTGATGACAATAAAAATAGTAATAATAATAGCAGCGGCTAATCTTTTTTGAGCACATACTATGTACCAGGCACTACGCTAAGGGCCTCAACTGTTACGTATTAACACTCTGAAGCAGGTACTCTTATCTCATTTTATAGGGGAAGAAAACTGATGCTTACAGAGGGCAAGGACCCCACCCCAAAACTCATCAATGGGAAGGGGCAGCTGGCTTTAAAGCCAAGCCTTCTGACTCATGCACATTGGCTGTGCTCCAGTACCATGGACAGCACCTTGCGCAGGCCAGCTTAAACAAGTGTCATCATAGGATGTGAATGGTAATGAGGAAGATAGGGATCTTCCAGGGGTTAGTTAGGCAGCCCAAGTTCAAGAGTCTTCATTCATATGCCATGACTGCTGGGACTCAGCTACTCTGCCCACCTGCTTTTCTGCCCTCTACCAACTTGCTTCCACTCTGTAGCTTTCCCTGGCTAGCCCGCTGACAGACTGTCTGAATCGGGTACCACTGGTGCAAAAGCCTAGGCCACTAGGGTTGCAGATGCCATGGCCTCCGCATGAGTCATGGGAGGCAGACAACCTTGAAGGGCCGTGAGCAGGGAGGGCCTCATGCTGCTCATACAGTACAGAATGCAACTCTGCATCTGTATTGGGATCCAGCCTCACAGTTTCGGCTTTTAGAGAGGTTATTTATATCCTAAAGGGCACAGAGGATTAGTGCTCAGTCCCAACAGTCCATGCATATTGACTGTACAGATGAACAAATATGTACATGAGGAATTTTCCTACTAGTAAGTACAGAAAGTACCAACAAAGACAGGCTGGTCACTTATGAAAGGATTTCCTCCCCTTCTTCACTCCCTGTTTGTTTCAACGCCCTGTTTGTCAGACTTGAAACGTGCATGGGCTCTGATTTCCACTTACCGATGGCTGGTCATTTTTCATCGTGACGTAGAGAGGTGGCTCCGAGTTTAGCTCAACCATCTGTCGTCCCTCCCCAGCCTGAGGGACTCACGGCAGGACCGGCGAGTCGGCCAGCCCTCTCCAGCAGGCTCTCGGGGCAGGGTCACAATCACTCCCCAAGCCCGGCGGACCAGACAGGAGTGCACACCCACGCACATGACTAGGCAGAGCCAGATACTCGGGTCTGATGGGTCATGATGAAAGCAAAGTCACCCTCCAGGGAGAAAAACCGTACCCCTGTGACATTCACCATCAAAGACACAGTGTTCCCACTGGACACTACCTTCAAACTCTAAAGGTCTCTCCTGCAAAGAGGCTAAAATGTTCTATGGTGAGTAAGGGCTCTTTTTATGTACACACAAAAAATTTAAAGATTTAGCAAACATTAACTGCAACATAAGAGAAAAGGTCAACAAACTTTTACAGTAAGCATGATCAATCCACTGGAAAGAAAACTTAACTTTAAAAAGGGGAAGGCAGCCCCACCAGTGTTGGCTCAGTGGTTGAGCATTAACCTATGAACCAGGAGGTCACAGCTGGATTCCCTATTGGGGCACGGGTTGGGGCCTCTGTCTCGGGGGGAGGAATGGGGGGGGCATGCAGGAGGCAGCCAATCAATGATTCTCTCTCACTGTTGATGTTTCTACCTCCCTCTCCCTCTCTGAAATCAATAAAAATATATATTAAAAATAATAAAAATCAAAAGGGGAGCGCATTTAAAAACCTTTTCCCAGGAAAGTTAAGCTCTGAAGACAATGGCATTAAGTAGTATTAGGTAAGGCCCCAAGTCTTCACACATTTCACCAGGTGGTCCTCCCCAGCACACAGCTTCCTGCCAGAGACAGTTTATACGGTATGGGAGGAGTCAAGGTATCTTTCACAAGCCTTTTTATAAGTTGCCACAAAATCCTGAGATCTTGCTTAGCAATGTGCCCGGCCTCTTTTGTACACACTTTCAGCAAACAGGCAGGGCAGGCCTGAGAAAGCATGCCAGGTTCGGAGTCCACAGGAGTGTTTGGCCATCGTCTCTGCCATTCACTAGCCTTGTTAAATTCAGCAAGTCCTAACCTCTCAGAGTTTCAGATTCTTACCTACCCACCCACTCCACCTGCAAATGAGTTCATTAGCACCTGCCCTGTCCACTTCACAAGATTATGAGGATCCAATTAAATTACACATTTAAAATTTTAAAATCCTGAGGTAGGCATTAGGCATTTTCACCTTTCATGGCTGCCACAGATTCAAATCTCTTTTACGTAGCTCTCAACAAAATAAGGCTCAACATTCAGTAGGTTGGCAGTGCTGAGAATGGGTTCTGGACTCCTCATTCAAACCCAAATTTCAGTCTCTGCTCTGCAAATAAATCTCGGGAACTGATGATGTAAGCCCGTGGTTCTCAACCTTCCTAATGCCGCGACCCTTTAATACAGTTCCGCATGTTGTGGTGACCCCCAATTTCATTGTTACAAATTGAATATAATTAAAGCATAGTGATTAATCACAAAAACAATATGTAATTATATATGTGTTTTCCGATGGTCTTAGGTGACCCTGTGAAAGGGTCGTTCGACCCCCAAAGGGGTCACGACCCACAGGTTGAGAACCACTGATGTAAGCCTATGTCCTCAGCTGTCAAAGTGGAAGGGACAACGCATGTCACAGAAGTGTCAGATGCCCCGCAAGTGCTAGGCTAACCCTGGGTGCTCCATGAAACACTGGGTTTCTTCTTCGAAACCTATGGTCTCTTCCAAATAAAACGTCTGCAATTATCTGACGGCTCTATGATACCATAATATCTTATCAAATAGTAAGTATATGAGGATACACATGCCACACCCAAAATGAATACTGAACCCAACTTTTTCCTAGGACATATTTTCCAGAAAATATCCTTCCAAATTTTTTCAACCCTTATTTTGTTCTAAAAGCAAAACAAACAAACAAAAAACTGGAACAAAAGAAATTTACAGAAGTGCAGCTTTTAAAATCCTGACATCATAAGGAACTCCCCCCCATTAATGCACTATTTGCTACTTATAATAAACACTAGAGGCCTGGTACATGAATTCATGCACCAGTGCGGTCCCTCAGCCTGGCCGGTGGGATAGGGCCAAAACTGGCTCTCCAACATCCCCTGAGGGGTCCCGGATTGCGAGAGGGCACAGGCCAGGCCAAGGGACCCCACTGGTGCACGATCAGGGCCGGGGAGGGACACGGGAGGTTGTCCAGCCAGGGAGGGGCCGTGGGAGGGCTCCAGAGCATGTCTGGCCCATCTTGCTCAGTCCCAATCAGCTGGACCCCAGCAGCAAGCTCACTTACCGGTCGGAGCGTCTACCCCTGGTGGTCAGTGCACATCATAGCGACTGGTCAACCAGTCGCCTGTGTGCCCCCAGTGGTCAGTGCACGTCATAGCAAGCAGTTGAGCAGCTTTAACATATCATTAGCATATTACACTTTGATTGGTTGAACAGATGACTGGATGACCAGACACTTAGCATATTAGGCTTTTATTATATAGGATATGAATAAGTTTGTGTAAACAAGTTAGTTGAAAACTAAGGGCAAATTAGAAATAATGCCACTTACACAAGCTTCATTTGCAAACTTAAAAAAGCAATTTGCTGAGTATCAGACCCACCAAAATTTGTTTTCTTTTATTAAGGCATCAAATACTTAAACTTTATAGGGTAAAATCCTCTAGAAAAAAATACTTGGGGGATGTGTGTATTTTCCAGTGCCACTGCTGTTTTTAAATTTCATGATACAAACCAGAATACGCCTCAACTCAAAGAGTTTTCCTTTTGACACAAAGGCAAACATACTTACTGAAACACATCCATATCCACCACCCTGCAGATTCAGCAGTCTTACCCAGTAGGTTCAGGACTTCCTGACCACACTAATCAGCAGGATTGTTTGCAAGCCTCAAAGGCACACTATCCACTCAATAGATAAACACAGAAATACTACATACCTTGAGGCAAAGTAGTAAGTGGCCAACTTTTGCTTGCACAAAAACCACCCTAAATCATTTTTAAAAAGCACACGGATGACCACATCAGCTGGTAAGGTCTGGTCTGTGTGTCCTGTACTTGGCAAGGGGAGGGATGAGAAGTTATCACGTTCTTAGAAGAAAGTGGAATCTTAGAAAAGCTCACCCACCTTTTTTTTTTAATGGATAAAAAGTGCAATGCTTCACCTGGTCAACCTGTTAAATGGTTCATTGGAAACTTCTTTGGACGTGGCTCTCCTGTTCTATTTATCTAGTAGTATACATAGTTCCTCCCTTTTCCTAGTGACCACAGAACAGTTTTCCATCCACCTTACAGGGTAACTTTGCAATAAATAGAAGTGGAACAGTTGTGGACTCCCTCTTGAGCCCTTGGGAAAGGGCCCCAGAGGTGGTTGCACAGGACCTTAACCTCACTGAGTCCAACCATTCAAATGACACGTAGAGTATCCCAGCACCAGCGGCCATCCAACCAATGCTGCAGGGGGTCCAGGGACAGGGCAACTCACAACACATGTACCCCAGACCATCGAGTCAATCTCTGGGCCATGACTGTGCTTAACAAGCTCTCCACGTCATTCTCCAGCACGTTCAAGTTTGAGAAACATGCCTTAGAGTCCTTCTCCAAGGTGGGTGTGCATATGGATCAGTCGGGGAATTCTGCTAAAATGCAGAGTGTGGTTCAGTAGTTTGGTGGTGGGAGACAGTCTGCACTTCTAACAAGTTCCCAGGTGCCTCAATGCTGCTGAGCCACAGACCATACTTAGAATAGAAAGACCTTTGAGAGCAGAGTCCAACACTCCCGTTCTGTGCACTGTAATAATTTATTAGCAATCTAATTAGGAGGCCAAGATTATGTGAGACTGAAGGGAAGAGGTTGTGATGGTGTAAATGGACCACTGCCTGAAATACTGTGCATTTTATTTTAGAAAAACCCGTACCTTCCAGTTTTATGCACTTCAATTTAGACTGTGAGTGCTGCTGCAAAATGCAATTCCAGGTATCATTTCACACGATACCGCTCAGTTTCTAAATCACAGCCCGGCACCTGGAGGTCTGCGGTTCTAATCACACAGTAAGTGATCACCACTGGTCAGTTCAATTGCTTCTCCCTTTCCTGATTTCTTCACCTGCCACACAAAGGCATTTCTACCAACTAATCCACAGGCTTATCTACTCTTTACAGGCACAATAACATGCACGACCAACAGGAAACAGTAAACACAGAAATAGCCACAACTGCTACAGAATAAGAATTTTCTATCCACAGAAAACAGTAAGATAATTGAGCATCTTACCAACAAAAACAAACACCCTCCTGTCTCTGAAGACCGAAATGTTAAGATACTAATTTGAACTGGGTTCTATTCAAATTTGCAAGATTTCTGACTCTTGGAGGTGCATGTACTACAAGACACAAGGAATCATCTGAGTTCCGGTCCCAAAGGTAGTTACCGAATACAGTAGTACCCTCCCCCTGATCCACAGGGGATATGTCCAAGATCCCCAGTGGATAGCACCAAACCCTATTTATACTGCATTTTTTCCTATATGTATATACCTATAATAAAGTTTAATTTGTAAGTTAGGCACAATCAGAGATTAACAACAGCGATAATAAAATAAAGCAATTGTAACAATATTTTTAATAAAAGTTACGCAAAATATGGTCTCTCTTACTTTCAAAATATCTTATTACTCACCTAAAGGAAGCACTTTATAGTTTCCAAATTGCCAGCATCACCACCACTTTTGTGCGTTAGTGTCCTTAGCAAGCAAGATAAGGGTGACTTACACAAGCATTATCATACCATGACAGCTAATCTGATGGACAAGATAGTACTAAGTGACTAGTGGGTGAGTGGCGTCTACCGTGTGGAGAGGCTAGACAAAGGGACGGTTCGCATCCTGGGTAGGGTGGCATGGGATTGCATCTCACTACCCAGAACAGCAGGCAAGTTACAAGTTATGAATTGTTTACTTCTGGAATTTTCCCTTTAATATTTTTTGAACCTCAACTAACCACGGATAACTAACTAATATTATGGAAAGTGAAGCTGTGGATGGGGGAACTATGGCACATCATTTATCGCTTACCTACCTGGAGACAGAGAACTCTCCTTTACATTTTAGTTAGCAGTGACGAAAGAAGCTAAGGCATTTTTATTCCATCAGGTTCCATGGTCTCCCCAAGCCTCAGGTTTTCCCATCTGTAAAACAGGGATAATATTATGACCTTTCAGAATTACCATGAAATTTGCAATCACCCAGGTGAAATGCCCAGCCTCGCGACGGAGTCACGGTTGACATTCAACGGAAGAAAGCCCTTAAGACAGTTGTATGTGATGACTCTGAGAGTGAGTTAGAGATATCTGTCCAAATACACCCTACACTTCCACACTGTATGTCACTGACTGAATGTTTCTGCCCCCCCCCCCCAAATATTCACATGTTGAAATCTAATCCCCAGTGTGATGGTATTTGGAGGCGGAGCCGCTGG